GGCCACGACGACTGCCGGTCATCTACGTAGGTTGTGGTAGGGACACTGTCCAGCTCTCCCAGCAACTCATCAATTACAAGCTTGCAGAGGGCTGGTCGTTGTGCAAAGCCTTGAGGGCAACGTCTCTCAGCATTTCTCTTGACCTCGTAGAAGCTACCCCCAATCTCTACTCTCCTGTCACTCAAGTAGCCACTCCTAGCACCTCCAACTGACCTTTCCTTCTTCCAAGCATTCTTCTAAAAGCACTTTTACAGAATAGATCTCCTCCTCCTTCTGCCTCAAAGAACTTCTCTAACAGCCTCTTCTTAAAATCAAGTAAAAAATTCATCTAAATATTTTCCCACTTCATTTATAGACTTTCTTATTGGTACTCCCTTCATTTGTAAAATTTTAAAGTTTTGATTGATGCATCTGGATTAGGCAAAAATTTATCATTGAAACCCCCTTAGCAGATTATTTTTCAAAATTTTTATTTGAGTGTTGATACTTAGCAGCCAAGGCAAGGTACCTAAACTAAGATTTAACAAATGTCTTGACAATATTTAAATTTCTCTTTACTTGACTGACTATTTATTATTATTCCATACAATGTATTTCAATTTCATAGAAATTAACTTCAACCAGATTTAGTAATAATCATCAATATATATATGTTGTATAATATATATGGTCAAATATTGCACAGTTTCAAAACTCATAAAATAATAAAATAAATACTGCAATTCACACTTCAGCATCCTGGATACATAGAAGCAGTTTTAATTCTAGATATTACATCTGTTTTATGTTCATGTTTTTTATTCTCAAAAGCCTGTTTCCAGAGTAATATATTTATCTTTTATCATTGATTGTCATATAAGAACACTATTAGTTATTGCAGAATATTGTTCAGATTTGACAATAAAGAATGGTTTATATCTCCCAATAGCAAATATTTGACACACATGTTTAATAATTTATATTAGCAGATGCATGTCGTTAAATAGCGGCAAATCGGGTGGAAGGGAAGTATTAAGATGTACATTAGGACAGGGGAGTATGATGGATTAATTCCTAGCAGGGAGCAGGTGCTCCGTGCAGATTATATTTGTCTAATCCGACAGCTGTCCTGTGTCCCCAACATCACGGCCAACGGGGTGGGCTTTTTACAGCCAGTCAGTGAACAGTGATATTTAGATTCGATTTCACAGTGCCGTGGAGCTCTGAATAGCTGCGATTCTTCACGGGACCTGCATCAGTCAGGGGCCGATGTCATTTGACTGGCAAATATTCGATGCTTGTCCCCTTAATAAGGGCGATTATGTTGGATAATGTTATCAAATCCGGCTGAAGGGAACATACTGCCTTGTTCGGGGGAAGAAGTATTGTCAGCAAAAAAAAATTACAATGAATGGTGACAGGAACGAATCCAATTCCATGACTGAATCATAATATTGTTAAATTTATGACAACTCAACAAAAATATATAATTTCTTTACATGCTCATTTGTTTTCAAATCGCTAATAATTGTTTTGAAATTTTTGTAGTTATTGATTTGCAAAGTGAACCTTATAGATTTTTTTTTTAAATTATTTAATTCTCATGATATTCCTAATATTCATAAAATGATTTTTTTTTTCTCCTTTTTCACAAACTGAGAGTTTTCTGGAAATATTTTATTGTGCTACCTATCGTCTTAAAAACTTTCCTACTTCAAACTGTTTATATAATTAATAGCGTACAATTTTTCATACTTTTATTTAAATTTTTAAGAATGATAAATTGAATATTATACAATGAATACAAACTAATATTATGCAATGAATACAAATGTTTTCTCTCTAATAATAAAATATAGTTGAACTTTAGATCTACTTTATTATTTTCTTTGCCTTTAAAGCCCATTTTATAGCTCTTTAGTTCATTTTCAAGGCATTTTTTTTTTAAACGGATATAAAAGCCTTATTAAATTTAAATATTATTTATTTTTTTATAAAAAATACATATATTACCTGTAACACAACAACCTATGAAGGATTTTGAGTTCAATGCTATATAGAGTGTCTCGTAAGCAGAGCTGCATTCTTATAGAACTTCAATAAAAATATTTCAAGAGCTACAAAAAAGTATATATAAATAATGAGCCAATTTTGAGAAGAAATGTTTTTTTTTTTTGTAGTGTCATGTTTATGTAGAATAGTGAGTGTTAACTAAAGATATATTCAAATGAAGTAATTAACAATTGCTTCACTGTAAACAAGAAAAAAATAACTTTAAATCAGTAATAATGATTTTTTTCATTGATAAAACCATTTAAATAGGAGTTTGAGCGGAAAAACTAAGCTAAGTTCTGTTTTAACAATAATCATACATTGTTCACAATTTTTTTTTTTTTTTATCCAACTGTACTACAGATACCCCAAGTCTAGAAAAATTTCGTCGTCCAATAAGCTTTAAGTGCGAATTAATTAAGTTGAGGCTCATAGGGTAATAATTTGAGAGTCAACTTAAGTAGTGAAAAAAATGAAGTGATTAATTATTCTTTTACCTAAAAGTACCCATGTTTTCAACCAAATTAACACCAACTGACTGGTTCAAGGTTTAAATTTCTTGTTTTCCATAATCTGTGGTGTATTATAATAAACTTAATTGTTTTAATACATTTTTTATTTTAAAAAATAAATAAAATTTAAAATAATGATTACTCACCTCAATAACCTCACTTCATAAGGTTATATTTATTTTAACATTTTCTTGTCAATTGATTGAATTCCTAATATATATATATATGTGTATATATTGAAAAAATGTTCTCAACAACAATTTTGCAAACCAAAGTATTTCTTTTTTATTCAAAAATGAAAATTCTCTCAAAGTGTATGAGCCACCTTTAGAGCTTTAGCAGCTGAATAAATTTAGAAGATAGCCTAGATAGCAATCTTTTACCAGAAATTCGATGGCTTATTTTGATTTTTGGCTATTAATTTAAAAAAATAAACTCGTCGAACTGTGGAGAAAGATAATTATCAATTTTTTTTTTCATAAATCAATTTTTTTTCTTAAAATTGGAGACTTAATTTTATTTGAATAAACTACAAGTTTCTTATGGAAAAAATACAAAACAAGTCCAAATAAAATGACCTTTTAGAATAAATTTAAAAAACTTGTAGTCAAGGAATAAATTAATTAAATTCCGAGAGTCTGGGAGGTGGAACAATCCCTCGGACCCAGATAAGAGGACAAAAAGACCCCGTTCATCGGATTCGTAGCATTGAGGAAACAATCTGGAAACAGTTCGCAAAATAACAAACCCTGTTCCACCGCTATGCGGGCACAAAGCTATCTTAAATAGGAGTTTAATCATTGGAGTGAACCGGGATTCAATCAGTACAAGGCCCAGGTTTTGTAACTGCCTCAGGGGTCCTTCCAAAGGGTTTATTTAATTTCTCCAGAGCAGAGCCCCCTTTTGTCTTGGGCCCTGTCCTGCCTCGACAATGGACCAATATGGACAAGAAGTGATTGAAACGGCGGCTCCATTTGGAGCATGTTGGTTTCATCAGAGCCGAATTTTACTCCCTGTTCCAATTACTACATATATTTTTTACACAAAACGTAACCGCTATGAATTGTTTTAAATAAATCAAATCGGTATATCCCTACTGTTAGAGCAAAAGTTTCTTATGTAACAATTTTAAATAATTATTCTCTTTGCTCTAAAGGTGACATTTTGTAGTCTGCAACCGTTATAAGAAGTCTGCTAAATAAGAAAATATTAGCTTGAAATAAATTATGAAATTATATTAATAAATTTTAAAAAAATAATAGATTTTTCTCTTCTATAAAAAAATTCAATTTATACATTCAACTTTTGCATCAACAATAGCGATTATAACCACGTTTTTCAAAAACTTGTAATTACATCAATCTAAATAATCTAAAAATTTAAATTTGTAGAATTTTTTTTTATCTATATTTATTGAGAGATATTACAATCTGTCACAAATAAGGACATCTATAATAGTGTTCAGAGAGCACATTCACGCTCTTTCAACAATAAATAAGAATAAATAATAAAGAAAAAACAATAATAATAAAAGTAAATGTATATAAACTAAACCAAACAAAAAGAAACTAAACTAATAAAAACAATTACTCCCATGTGTGTTTGATTCCCATGTGTGCTTGTTTAAGGTGAATTTTTTTTTAATATTATAAAATAAGCCTCTGTTTATTTTTTCACCATATTTATTTTAATTTTCAAAGCTGCGTTTCGGCCTTTAAGCCATCCTCAAGCCATTTTATTCAACCATGCTTTTTGCATTTTAGTCTTTGGACTCAAAAGCATGGTTGATTAAAATGGCTTGAGGATGGCTTACCGGACGAAACGTAGCTATGAAAATTAAAATAAATATGGCGAAAAAATAAACAGAGCCTTATTTTATAATAAAAAGTCATTCACCCAAAATCACCGAGCCAAGCATTTCTCCCCAATCGAAGAAGGAAAGGCAGGACTCTAGAAGATCCTAGCGCCTCTAAATCAGTCGCATGTAGAAAATTAAGGAAAACCTACTTAAAATTTGGAGTACAAGAGCAAGTAGGTCCACAATTTTTTTTCGTGAAATTTTGACAAATTTTAACTTAAAAGAATTTATAGAAAAAAAAGTGGTAAATAATGAATGAGTACAACATTGTATGTTTGTATATTCTCCTAACGGTTTAAAGATAAACGTAATTTATGATGCTAAATTTGTTTTGACAATGTAAAAATGAGACCGAGTTCATAGAGATTCGTCCATCATAAAGGAGCCTGAAGGTCGTTTGTCATGATGCAGTCTTAGGAACTTTAGTCCCTGAAAAGACCATTAAAGCAATATAACCAGACAATTTGTAAAATAGACAATCAGCTCTGATCGTATCAGCTGTTATTGGAAACTACACCGTGGCGGTATGAAGCAATAGATCTAATGTAGGAAATACCTGTCAATTTGGAAACAAATTAAATTTTCCAAATGAAAACAAGTTACCAGCGACTATTGACCCGGTTAAGCTCGAGACTGTGACAAATCGTGCCCGGCGACGGTGGAGGGTGATGGGGATGTTCTAATTTTAAATTTAAATAAAGGGGGGCTCCTGATCTGATGGACATAATTGGAAATAAACGAGTTTCATAAGGCTCCAGATTAAGGCCTTGGGAAATTGGGATGGATGCCTGAGCAGTTGATTGGTCCAGCCAGATTAGAGCAGCGCTTATATCCGCTCCTAGGGCTTTTATTGGATATGTCAGCCCAGAGCTTTTCCCCGCTCCTTACACATCCTTCAGAGAAGACAAATAATGTCGATGAATTTTAGATTGAGTTGTGGTATTCGTATAATAAGGAGAACGAAAATTGGATCAATCTATTCGAAATCACTCAAACCAAGAGATTTTTTTTTTTATAATGATTTTATCAGTTAAACATTATTCAATAAAGAGTTCAAAAATATATTTAAATTTTTTTAAGGATTACACTTTTATCTTGGCGGTCATTTTTAATTTAATTTTCATCCGAAAACATGGTTTGGGAAAACTCGTAAATTTAACTCTGGTAAATATATAGATATCAAGGATTAGGATTTCTTCTGCTTTTTTTGCCACCATGTGGTCATGTCTCCATGATTCGGTGTATTAAGAAAGACAAGGGGTTAACAAAAATAATGAAAATCAACGTAAGACGCTGTGATAGCTACTATCACATCAGCTGACTTATATAAGCTAGTGCTTTAACTATTCTATTATCAACTGTGAGATAAAAATATCAATTGTATATCGTATATTGTAAACTTCTTATATATATATATATATATATATATATATATACTAGTTGGCGCTTCAGACCATGAAGATCTTTGACCAAGATGCCCGGTTAGGGTCATCTAGCCTACGCCCAGTCGGTTTGAGTTGCCTCCAGTAGGCTGACGGGCATCACATACCCGAGGGAGGGGAAGGAATCTCGGTCAGCGTGGTATTCCTTGGTAGACGTTCACCCCCATCCAAGTGCTATCCACGCTCGGCGTTGGTCCAGGTTCGAGTTCAGCTGAGAGTAGAAAATTTATATTCTGTTCTATTAGTCGCGGATTGAATTTTGGATCGGAAGATTTATTCGAGTACTATGCATCGTAATTGCTAATTACATACTGCACTGTGCCAGCAGCTCTATATAACGCTACATTTGTAATTAATTATCAGACTTTATCTGTCCATTACAAATGATGATTCTTCGAATTCGCACACTAATTCACAATTCAGTCACACTTACTACTTGCTTTCTAGAGCTTTGGCAAAGTGAGGTGATAGTTTCCTGATAATATCGTTTACCTATTTTATATAGTTAACATTCATGCTCACCAATAGAACGTAAAAACGTCGCAGAGATGTGCCAAGCTGAGGCATGCATAGGGACACTGAAGACAAATAGCTACTATAACGGGTTTTTTCAAACCGTATTTCGATACTGAGAAAGAACCGTTCAAGGAAGTCATAGTAACTTGCCTTACATATAAAGGCATTGTTAAACTTCTACAGTTAAAATGAGAAATCGAACAGGAGTATTTTTCATTAAGATTTAGCTTTTAAGTTCAAGAAATTCTAATGAATTGAGCACATGGCTAAATCTAAATCCTATTATGGACAGAGGTTCCAAATGCAGTCTTCAAGTAGAATATATATTTTTTGAAAATAAAAAATTCAAAACGCTTTTTCTTTAAATACTCTAATATATGAAAAAAGGATTAAGTTTTCGTTATAGTTTTAACATACACAGATATAGATATAATTAGAAATTTAATCTATGAAGAATAATTCTTTTCGCTGTAATTGATTTTTTAATTCATATTCTTTTTAATTTTTATTTTATATCACTTTAATTATTTTTTCAATCTAACAAGAGGATAAGTACTGCTGGGGGCTATTCATCTTCATGCCTGACCTGTCATTCCTATCGTTTTCATCAGAACATTGGTTGATTGTCAAGAGTTTGTCAACATGTGCAGATGATTATTTAAAGATAAAGAAGTATATATCTATGTAAGTAGCTATCGTATTTTATTAATATAGAAAATATGCCTGCATATACTGTTAAATAATTCTATTATTATTAATAAAAAGATGTAGGTTGTATTTATTTCACCATCCCTTTACTGATCTGTGTTACTCTGACTACGTTTCAGCTTTCAACGCCATTTAAAAGCCAGCTATAAGGAATTATTTAACCATTAGTATCTTACAATATAGGTATGAATCTGTTGTTTTCTTCTCTTTTTTATAATTAATTTATCTTGAAATTATTTTATTTTATTTATTGTATATACGTTTTTACAATATAGGTATGAATCTGTTGTTTTTCTTCTTTTTTTATAATTTATTTATCTTTAAGTTATTTTATTTTATTTATTTTATATACGTTTTGATTAGTATTTAGTTATTTTGCTTCTGTTTATTTTATATTTTTTGTACATATTGTATGAGTGTTACCTCTCTATAACGAATGTCCATGCCACAGATTGTTATATTATTAAATAAATAAATTTATAAAAAAAATCCTCAGACAGACAGAGTACAGAGGGTCCACAAGTCAAAATGAAAAGAAAAATTTTGAACAAGCGACTTAAAATACTATACTCACTTTTTCTAAATCTAAATTGAAAATTAGACAAAAACTAAATACATACACTTCAGCGCTCAAACCCATTTGGACATACGCCTCACAGATTTACGGTTCAGCTAAAAAGACTCACTTACAAACACTGCAATGTTTTCAATATAAAATTTTAAGACTAATAACTGCAGCTCCCTGGTATGTCAACATCAAGACTTTACATACCGACCTAACACAACCACCATTGGACCAATACATACATACTCTCTACTCCCGATTTCATCTAAAACTAAACGGATATCACTATGGACTTATCAACGATATGGCCACGGCTGAAATGCTCATCAGGAAGCGACTGAAAAGGAGCTGGATGAGAGATCTCCTTTCCTGATTTTAGGATGTAAACAGACCAGGGAAGAGGTGCTGCTGGGTTCCATTCTTCGTCATGCCTATCATGCCATTTTCTACTTAACAACAAATCTGCTAATTGTCACTACCATGACAGCTCGAGATGGAGAATTGAAGGCCAAAAAAAAAAATCTTACAAAATCAACAATCATTATAATTTAATATTGAATTAATTTTATCCCATATAGAATAAAATTCAAAAATTAAATTACATAGATTTTTTTAAAAAGTAGATAAAAAATATTTTAATAAATAAAAATTATAAAGATAAGGTTAGTTCAAACTTATATAAAAAAATAATATATACACAGCCTAAATATTATATTACTGATTAGAATTTCACCTTTACCAAAAACATATTCAAGTATTCTATAATTGTTATAAAATTATCAACTTTAGAATACATATAAGCCATTCTATTCAAAGAATTTTTTTTTCGAATGTTTTTGAAGAAAGAGGAATGTTTTTCGAAAATTATTTTTCAGATGAAATAATTTTTCCCGACAGCATTATCACTTCGAGAAATCATAATTGCAAAAAATCAATGGACCCACGAAAAAGGATGGAATGGTAAGGGCCTAGCTGTCGGATTCCTTCGTCCATCCGACAGCCTAAAATATGCCCCTAAGACCACACTGAGTCTAAGGAGGTATTTTAATTGCCATCTTCTTCTTCTCGCCGATTTAATTGCACCGGCATATTAGAAGACATCGGCGAAATTCCACCGATGACTTAGTGCTGTATGGCCACAATGCCTTCTCTGAAGTTTGCGTTTGTCATAGACGGTGCGGCTCGTTTGTGACCAAGGCTGTTCTTCTTTTTGGTGCAGTTTTTGTTCTTGATGTCGTACACAAAGGAACCAACCCGGGGTACACGTGTGTATGCTAATATGATGTAATCAATAACCTGCTATGTCGGAAGTCGGCAAACAATAAAACAAATCGGCTTACTCAACTTACTAATTTTTTTGTAAATATGGAGAAAAAAAGAATCTTCTGTGTTTCAAAAGATTTTTTTCAATTACTTGCTTATTATATTTATTATTATTTTTTATCTTGTTTAACAATTTAATATATAAAAAAATATATTTTAAAAAGTATTTTATTAACATATCGTTCATTCGCAATATCTGTATTTCAGATGCACTTGAAGATACAAATATAGTGGAGCCTGGACCCGAAAATCGACCTCATCGTAGGCGAATGTTTGAAAGAAAATTACGAAAGTGTATGTTATTCTGAGTAAAATGAAGTTTGTGTGCCGTTCCAGAGCCGCTACTTTAAAAAATGCTGCTTTAAATAATATTAAGCCAGTAACTTGAGTATTGAAAAGGGAAATGCATTGCGAAAGATGTAAGAACAGTTTTTTTTTTTTACTTATATATGTGGGCCTAGGCATGTAAAAAACCAAAATAGGTAAGTGGGCCATCAAGGGAAATTTTTTTACAGCAATAAATTTCAGATATTTTTTTGTTTTTTCACCTATAACTACTTAAAGATGTATTAAAACGAACAATGTATTCTTAAAGAAATTACAGAACCTTAAACTGTGCATCGAACGAATACCTAAACTTTATAATTTGGTTAAGTGGTATGATAGAAAACCAAAGTTAACCAACGCTGAGTTTTACCTAATTTGTCAAAAACTGAGACAAATTACTATAAATGACTATATAGCTTGGAAATGAGTTCCCTAAGAGGAAAACCAAATACAATGAAAGTTGTAGAGATTCTACTGAGTACTAACATTTTTATTTTAGGTTAATTATATAGCTCGAACCGAGATTCGTTATTTCTGCATTAAATTCGGTATCTTTCGACATATCGTTTCACAAAATCCATCGCTGATGAGAGGTGAAAAAGAGACTTATATTGCATGTATCAGACTCTAAGCAAGAATAACTCACTAGAATAGCTAGTGAGTTTCAACACCCATGCTGTTGAAATATTGAAAATCACACATACCTTCATTACTCTCTAACATCGGGAAATTATTAATCTAAACACAATTTTTAAAATAATACATTAAACAAATCTGTTGAGCGCAACACAAAACTTTCACTTATCTCTCTACTTTGAATAGAAATTATTTTCTGACAATGTTGGGTAATTATAAAATTTTTGAACGGAGCTATAGCTTATATTTTACAGCTAACAAATCATTAAAACCACTAAAATACCGAAAACTCTATTAATTATATCAACGGTAGACGAAAAATCCTCGGTACTCCATCTGTTTTTGTAAACCACATAACTTCATTCTCTAAGCTATATTTATTTACCGCGTAGTTTTGTCGCCTAAAAGCCACTTTGAATAATGACAAAATCAAACATTTAAAGTAAATTTTTTCTCGTTATTAATTATTATTAAATTCGTCTACTAAATATGACTTAATGAGAAACTTGAATTTCCTTCTTTTGAAAAAATCTTTTGAACATAATTTATAAGAACTTTTTTTTTAAGGCACACTATCATTCTTTATTTGCCTATACTAACAGGACAACTGGCACCCTATACATATATATATAGGCCAAATCATCAACAAACATCGTCCTTCTTACGCCTACAACCTTCTCCAGTTCAAATCCTCAGTCCATTCCCTGTCCACAAGATCTCGACCTTCTGACCTTTACATGCCTTCTCACAGATCTGCCTCATTCCAAAATTCCTTTATTGTTCGCTCTGCCAATTTCTGGAATTCCCTCCCGATCAAAATTCGACATTCCCCCTCCATATCCACATTCAAATCCCTCCTATTCCAATTCCTATCACAAAAACAGTCAGATACTTGCTAACCATTCGAGCGGATTTTAATAGAGAATTTGATACATTTTTATTTTTTAATTCTTTATTTTTTTCGGAAAAGTGTAAAAAGTGTAAGGGTCTATAAGTGCAAATAGCTTTAAGTGTCTTGTCATAGTATTAATGGTTTTGTATATAGTTTAGTTTGTTTTGTATATAGAATTTTTACCTTATATTTTTTTTACATTATTTCTTTTTTTCGATTGATTTTATTTTGGCCAGATGTAATATTTTAATTTTGTTCTATTTTGTTATTCTCAAGGGAATGTGTCCCAGAATAAAGTTATTTTTCTATCTATATATTAATTTATTGAATTCTCGATTGTTGACAATTGTATTTTATTGAGGAAAGAGATCTTTTCGGTCATCAGAAGACTTGAAATTGTGAAAAATAAAAGAAAATAGTTTTTTCACTATTTTAAGTCTTTCCATGACCGCCACCCCGGACCATAGCCAATCTCAATATATTGATTTAGTATTTGGATTCAACTTCAAAAGGAGGTTTCGTTTCTTTCTTTTTTTTATTAGTGTGTGTGTGGTCCAGATTTTTCCATAAAGGATTTCCACCTCTGGAGAGAGTTGTTGTCGTCCGTTGATTTACACCGCCTTCAATAAAAAGTGTCCTACGACTGTCGGAAAGGCTGCCACGGTGTCCTCCTGAGCAGCGAGATATGGAGGGATGTGTCCCGGCATCCGAATAGGCTGCTTAACCTCCAGTCGGCGAAGAAAGGATAATTACGATCTCTCCCTTTAATATATCGATTTAATATCGCATCCATCTTCACTGAGAACGATACATCGATGGCAGTATATTCCCGAGTGCATCCAGTTATTCATAGTTTTCCTATTGGGAACTGCATCGTAATCCATGGATGAAGAATCATTATGTATGGTTGTTCTATATTTACATTTGAAATGAAACTTATCTTAGCATTAAGAAGAAATGCCGCTATGCCTTTACGTGTAAAATTATTAATTCCCTATACTATTAAATAAACTAAATGCCACACAAAAATTGTCCTGTAGATAGTGAAATACTCTATAAACATCCACCATATAGAGTTATAACTTCCATAACATTTAAATTGATTTTTTATCTATTTCTTTAGATTAATGATTTGTTGTTTAATATTGAGGTTATTACTTGCCAGAATAGAGAAGGCAGAGAAAGAATATATCAGTTAAGGAAAACTAAATTTAAGTACGCGTAAGAGTAAGCAGTTAGAAAAAGTAGTTAATGGAATATTATAAATTTGACAGTGGACCATTTCTTGACGATTCCACAATATTCCTACAAATTTTAGCCGAATTGCCCTAAAGGTATGTCAATGAAAATAAAGTTCTTCATGCAATAGCAATCGATAGAATTGGACAGTATTGATATTAACCCAAATGTTTTCGTACCGTCCTTCACAATACATGAATATTTTAAAAAAATAGAATATTGGAAGTAGGTGTCATGTTCATTAAAGTTATATAACTAAATTATTTACGTTTGCTGGATTTACATTTGATTTCTGAAACGTAAAAGGCATGCGAGAATTTTCGATTATGGGAGTATTAACTTTTTCACTTCAAACAAAGCTTACCAAATTTTGGTATTAAGAAAGAAATTTTATTTGGTCTCTTAATTTTTGATTAAATCTGTATTATGTATGGATTGTTGGTCTACGTTCTTTTTCACAAATTCAATAGTTAGTTTTCTTTATGTTGTGTTTTTATATGAGCATTGATTGTCTTTCAGGATTTGCATTTCTGAAGCGGAAGAGAAAGTACTTCTATCCGGAAAGTATGTCATATACGCAAAAAAAAATTAAAAATGTAAAAAATTAATTTAATAAAGAAGTTCTATTAACACAAAAATTAAAAACCGAATGTTTTTATATAGATTATTTTTTGTGTTTCCTTGTGTTGACTGGCAATGCTTACCTAGTGCCTTGTGCCGAACCTCATTATTCGGAATTCAAAAAAGTCAACTTTTATTTTACAAATAACTAGGGCGGTACAGCCTGCCTGTCAAACGGCAGACAAACCCCCATTTTACATATTATGCAACCGTTCTTTTAATTGTATAACTGTAATTTTCATTTATTCTGTAGTTCAGATTGTATGATTTTTAATCAAGATATCAACGAAACCACGGTTCGGGCAAATTTTAAATTTCTCTAAAAATCTATATTTTACATCGCGCCTTATTGGCAATATATATTATTTAATTATAAGGTAAATGTACTAGCAATATATACCGTATCAGTAATAGACGGTTTTAAATTCGTTAACAGATAAACGAATTCACTCACTAAAAAGAGAGTGAAAATATCAGTATATTTTCAATTAAAACACCTAAGAAGGGGATGGCCGAAGTGATATCATGTCACCATGGCCGCTTGGCAGTGGATTTATTTTTAAACAATGCTGAGGTTTGTTTTAAGCAGATTTCCTTATCACTTTTATTTAGGGGATAAGTTTGAAATTTGTATTTATTCATATATGTTTTGATATTTCTTAGTTTAAAACTGTGGAGAATCAATTTTATGTTTTTCTGAGTGCCTATTACTGATGCAAAATACCCTGTCGGAAATTTTTAGTGTTTTCACGAATAACTAACTAATTTATTGTATTTTTAAAAAAATGCGATAAAAGACTTATTTTTCTTTCAATTAAAACGATCTGCAAAGATCATTAGTCAGAACTAAATCTGTGATTCACATTAATTATAAATTTTCTCTTTAAGTGTCAATTACCGGTATATTTACGTTAATCTAGAGCCATAATAAGAAGGAGATAATTCTGGAAATAAGAAATCTTCGTTACGGTCCGTACAACTTTGTATATGTAAAATACAATATGACAATGGTGGCCATAAAAACTGGTTCACCTTAAATTTTCTCGTTATTTTTTCCCAAAAGAAAAAAAACATGTTTGCTTCCTCAATACAATGTGACATATTCTCTTTGTAGGTGACCACAAATAAAGGAAATAAACAACCCAATTTCATTTAAAAAAATCTGTAATATAAAATAAAGCAAATGGACAGTCTTTTAAACAAAATTAAATTCATCTAATTATTTTGCAAATATAAAATTAGAATCTCTTGTACCTAGTGTTCCCTTGCCTTGATTCAATAACGGCCTGTACTCTAGTAGGCATACTGCGAATTAAGATGGTTACCAGATTTTGAATCTGATCCATTCATGTACTTTGAGGCCACATGGAGGGTTCTGTTGTCCATGGATGTACGTCCAAAGTTGGTCCCAATGATGCTTAATAGGATTAAAGTCCGGACTGCGTGCTGGCCTCTTCAAGCTGCGGACTCAAACCTCGTCTAGGAACTCTCGTACAACATTTTCTATGTGCGGCCAGGCATTATCTTGCACAAGAAAGAAACAGAGGGTGATGAACGTCCCAAAATATTCCTAGAGGATGTTGGTGATGTAAGAGTGTGCATTGAGATTCATCCTTCGAAATACATGGCAGTCTGTACTTGACTCTAAACATATTCCACCTCAAACTGCACTCTTCCCGGAGGGTTTCTGTTACCGGAGGAACTTTCGAAAAGGGAACAAGAAAAATTGAAAAACAGAAATAACGAGACAAGTCATAGTAAGTGTGGTTGTAGGTGATGAACGAATTTCCTAATTTTATATTCGCTTTCACTATTATTAAGAACAGAGAGTAATAGAATTCCTTGTCGTTAGTGGATGGGCACATTAGCTCATGTTATCCTAGTTTATGTTAAATGGACGTCACGCTAAAAAAGTTAATGGGAGAAATTGAGTTTTGAGATACAATCGAAACAAACAATTAAAAGAATAGATTTGTTATTCTTATTTCCTTAAAATAAATTATATGAAGCTATTTTGACCTACTAGATTCAATTTTTTTAATATTGTCTCTATTCGTTGAACTGAGATGAAATATAAGTGATTTAACTGAAAATCGAACTCAGATAATAAGTTTAAGCGACCTACCTCCACGGTTCTCGCAAGTCTTCCTTTTGCTGCTGTGGGGAGGCAAACTGCCAGAACTGGGCAGCTCTTGGACACAGGGACCGGAGGACATCGCGACTCCCCCGGCTACATACAGACCATGGGAAGGGGCCGAGGAAAATTGTAAATTTTCCTGGACGGAGCCGTGTTGTATATGCCTGGAATAAATTATCAGCTATTGTAAGGAGGTGTGTTAGAGGTTGTTTGTTGGGCCTTTGTTAGAGCTGACTGCTGGGCGCTGTTTGGAATCCGCAATGTTCTCTCTTTTAATTGTTTTGTGACTCGAGGTTCGACCTCCCCGACACCCTGTGACCGCCACAAAGGAACACGGCCCTTCATTGTTACCTTCCTCCTACTCGCCCTTCTTAGCTTCCACTAGCCAATTTTATATGTTTTCCAATTATTGAATAACTAATTGGGCCGTGCAAATAGTATATTGGTCTGTTAACATATTACAAATATATCATAGATGCGTTAATAAAGGTATTATGAGATGGAGAGATTACATTTATGTTTATCGGTTGAGTCACAATAGTTAATTCAAAATAATAAACCAAAACGTGTGGACAAATAACTAAGGTAAATGTACCAGTAATAGACTCTCAAAGAGAAATATACGATTCATTAGATTTTTTCCTTATTTTAAATTTTTAAAAATAGGTATTATCTAATCGGGAGGTGCAGAAGAATTTTTGAAGCTAAAATATACAGTGGCTCTCAGTGAAATCAATGAAATCCTTAGGAAAATAGAAAAAAAAAATATATGACTACAGTAAACATATAAAACCAGAAACTCCTCAACAGATTTATTTATAATCTAAATTTAAATATGTACAAACTCAATAAATTAAAATATTTAACTTTGATTATTTAAAAAAAAAAAACTGAATAATTTTACCTCAGAGTCAAAATGATAAAACTCACTTCTCATTAACTTTTAAATACTATTAATTTAGTTTAAAATCTTGTAGGCAAGCCATAATTTTCTACAACTCCTTTCAGTTTTTTTGAAATGGTATCAACCAATGTTTTGGTTATTCCGTCCTTAACCTGCTGCATTCTTCGAGGCGATACAATGATAGGTCTTCTTTGGCAGAAATTTCGTGTTTTCTAATTTCTACCTCTAATTTTGTTCAGAGGTGTTCTATCAAATTAAGATTTGGTGACTGTGGCTGAGTTTTTATAATATCGAGTTGTAAAGTAGTCATTCCTTAGCTAACATCAAAGATTGTTTGAACTCATTATCCTGATAAAACTAAATTTGTTTTTTAGCACCAGATTTTTCCGCGATTTCTTTCAAATTTCTTTACATAATGTCTGCGTAAATATATTTATTCACCACGCGATGTGAATATTTCTACAATTAAGGGAACATATCCTACACCAGAAGCCTCCGTACTCACGCTCCTGGGCCAAGAAACAGAACATAAGAAAATAACATACAACTTAATATAAGATAAGAACAACAAAAATAACATAAGGATAACACATTACTAGGATGTTTATTGATTACAATAAACTATTGGTTTTAATGTGATATCAATTGAACTATTTATTCATTCATTAATTCCCATCAATAAACATGTGTATCATTTTGACTACGTGCCAATATATATATATTTATATATAGCGAACTTATTTATTGCAGTATCTAAAGCGACTCAATTTAACAATATTTGATGTTTTATAAATATGTAGCTTGTTAAATATGTAAAATTCTAAGCATTGAACGAGAAACTATAAATAATAGATTTCAGGGAACACCATATTTACAAAAACTTAAATAAATAAAGTAATAACAATATAATACATAGAAATTAGAAAAAAAATAAATATCATGAGAATAAAAAATGTATATACAAATAAATGATTTAGAAAATAAAATCTACTTTAAAAAGTAAACTAAAAATTCTAAGATACAGGCATACTTATACACACTATTTACAATCAGCCAGGTGAAGTCTAAACCAACCTCGACACATCTCCCCACTTCTGGAGTGAAGAGCTCTAGGCTTCAGCCGATCCCAACGTTTCTCCCTCAACAACTTCACTGGTATTAGAAGCCTGCGGAGGTTCAGTAAGGCCGCTAAAGCATAACATATTTGCTTGTCTTAGGTGTCTACTTGTAACTCTACATGACATAAATGGCCTGAAAAAACATGAAATTTGAGAATTGTTCTTTGGCAAATGTTAGACGAATATCAATGTGGGTCGCTCCAAAATCGAACTATTTTTATTTATTTTTTTTTTAATTGTGTTATTCTTTTAAAACCAGTGATTGGATTTTTCTTCTAATATTAAGAAATGAAACATTAATGATTAGATATTTCATGTCAACTATGGACAATCAATGACAGTTACATAAACAATGTAGACAGAACTTTACAACAGGCTGTAGATTAAACTATACTGACATGGATCACCCTAACTCTACTTACACAGATCCGAGAACGACTACAACAGTATGTGTACAGGCGACAACACCCCGCAGACATAGCACCACTAAATTTATGGCAGTACATTGCAGTCCCGGTCCTAGCTAGGGCTAATTAAATCAATATTGTTGATTAATGAGAATTGGGCCGCAATATAGGAAACAGGCATTGAAGCTAGGCCAATGAGTCATTCATCCCAGAGTTTGGAGTCGATACAGAAGAGGAAAGTTAGCGTTGATATAAATGACAGGATTTATTATCATAATAATTATTTATACATAAAAGGATGTGTCAGTCGAACTAATTTTCATTTTTTAAATGTCACCAGAACCTTAATCAGTATCCCAATACTACAGGGCAATCCACACTCTACTCTATCACCGCACATTACTACAATTCTTCTTTCAAGGTTATATGGCTTCAATTATATAGATATTAAAGAAGATTCATCTTTAGTTATTTATAATGAAGAGAAATGAATTTTCTGAAGATGAGCAGTATTGCCCCGACATATCAATCAGCAATTATAACTAATAAAATAAATGATGAAAAAATTGATGCTGTTTGATTTGTCAAATGACATCAAATTATATATTACATTAATCTAAATTCATATATTAAAATATTCATGGCCGTTATTAAACTATGTATAAATTAAAAAAAAAAACACTAATTATTTTGCTCATATCATGTTATGGGTATTTTCTATTTTAAAAAAAAGAAATCGGTGTTCGAGCAAATGTCCTTATCCACAACGCGTTGATTAATCCATCAGCGATTAGATTATAATCAATATATTGGCCAGTATCTTCATGTTTATGGTATAGGTTAGTTAAAAAAACAAAAATGAGCTTCAGCAAACCAGAAATATAAACCCAAACGCAATTATTCTCGTTGAAATATTTTCAGCGCTCTAGTGCTTTGTAAATTGAAACCATACCTGTACATACATAAGGGATAGGAAAATACTCCGCGCTACTGTCAGCCAAGATCAGATAGCCCTCGGAAGGATATTCTGTCCAGTGTCCAGTGTCACATTACACCAGTGGCCGCATCCTTTGATGACCGCAAAGCCATTGTCCTGGCAGGTAGCCGGGGGACATTGCATAACTAGTAGCAGATATGTAACCAAGAGTGTTATCCTTAAGGATCAGCCTTTTGAAAGGTATACCTTCTACCTGAGCCCTGGACAATATCCCAGCCCTTCCTCATAAGGGTCACTCTCGAGAGCCATTCTCTCATCTTTCCACCTCATATAGGCTCCCATCCTCTTTGTTAGTCCTCCTCTCCTATCCTTCTCCATTTCTCGAAAGCCCTGTTTACTTTCCCTTTCTGGGAATATTACACGCTCTACGGCTTGGATGACATAAATAGAAGTGAAATAAAATGAAACGGTATTGGAATTAACAAATAAACCTGAGGCCATTCGTTGATTTCAATCGACCTCTCAGCATTAAATCAAACATTTTTAATTGTAGCCTGGTATTTTTTGTTAACCTTTTGAACGAAAACCTCATCTGATAAGTGAATGGTTTAAAAAAATATATATGGGATTCAATTTTCTTGTAATATTTTTTAGATTCGGTGCCATTTTTAGGTTTTGCATCGATAACAAAATATTAACAAACAGAGAATAATAGAACCAATATTCATTACAAAAAAAATTAAACAATAAGTAAATCAGCAAACGGATGTAGAGAATCTTAACTACTTTTTATGCTAGCGCAATAGACAAAATTAAAATATAAAATTCTCTGATCTCTAATATTCCCTCCCACCCCACTCCTAAATGAAATAAATCCCGTCTTGAATGAATGGGTTATAGAGAAACATCAGATTTAATATCTTATACAAAGGACGAAGAAATTTTAATATTAAATTATATTCTTTTCGTTTTCTGTTCTTAAAAAATTAACATTATATTTAATTATTTTTATATAAGTTTTAGAAATCAAAACGGCATTCTATTAAATAAGGGAATGATTAACTGCCGAATTATATAATAATGGTATACATTAAAAATATTTTATGAAACGGTGCTTAGTAGGTAGATAATTTTTTCGTTAATTTTAAACCACAATAATAAAAAAATTTATGTTATATAATTTAAAAAAAATAATAATAATAATAAGGACAATATATGTAACAGACTGTTTATAAGTTATTATAAGTTTATAATGATATATATATATATATATATATATTTTTTGTTTTATTAATTTATTCAGAAATATAATAATCTATCACACGGACAATAATTATAGTGAGATATGAACACATTCACACCATATACACTTACTTACTTATTTGCGGTGTTTCAACATAGGATACCTCTTCAGATCAGGGCAGAGCTCCACACGTCTCTCTCTATCTTCCCAGTCACCCTCTTGTAGACCTCGGCCTGCCATCTCCTCTCGAACTCCTTCCATCCACGTGGTTCTCGGTCGTCCTCGCCTAATCTTTTCGGGTGGCTGCCATTCCAGGACTCTTAGTCTGTGGGCCAGACCCCCTTACCGTGCACCCCCCCCACATCCCTATAAATTGCATATCGTTGTGTTCCTTGTAACAATTTATTTAAAAAAAGCCAATGTTCCCACAAAAAAAAGTGAACGCACTGCCCCAAAATGGCGTCCAAAGATGGCGGATTGACGACTTTGACTTTAGTTAGTTTTTTGGTCACTGAGAATCAGCATTAAGCTTAATTTCCTCATAGTTGGTCTTTTATTAAAGCTGAATAGTTATAGAATAATAAAACATGAAGAAATATTAAAAAATAATTGGCTAAGGCTATGAAAAACACCAGTAAAGTCAATTTTTTTAACAAAAAAATTTTCAAGTTACAAATCAAACGTCGTTTGTAATTAAACGGCCTACAATAACGCAAAACGTGCTGAAATAAACCATCTGGAGAATATATTTCTCTTTCTGAAACGCTAATTATTTTTTACAAATGTTTAAGTAGTTCCGTAAAAAATGCACTTATGCGGCAGAAAAGCGGTACTGGCGTGGGTGCCTACAGGCCTCTACCACACCATTCAGTGCCCATAAATGGCTTAGTTATAGTGATATAATAACATTTTTGGTACATTATATTGGTTTTATTAACGAACAAATATTAATGCAATAATTTAATAGTAAAAAAAAAAATTTAAATTAAAAAAAAATTTATTATTATTTTTTTAAATTTTAACCTCCTTTATTCTATACGTAGGTCGTTTAAGAATACCTCAATTATAAAAATGGTATAATTATAATAATAAAACTTAATTAAAAAATATTTTGCTAAATATCTTGATTTTTTTTTATTTAACGTTTGCAATTTAACACTGTGTTTTGAATATTTACTGATTCTTAGAAGTAATTAAAATTTTTATATACTTCCCAGGAAATGAGTCATATTCATACCTTTTTTATAAACTAAAATAATATATACCTAATCTGAACTATATATAATGAATAGCTACCGGGTTGTTTAGTAAAACTCATATATCACTAATTAAAAAATTAATTTTTATTTCCTCTATTTTGTGCAGAAGTTGGACTATATCATAAATAAATAGGAAATTTTAATATTGAATGAATTATTCTCTATGCACAAAGAAAGATATAAAGGGTGACCCTATAAGTTCTTCTATAAACCAAAACTGATTGTTTGGATTTGATCTCAAAATGAGGAAAAACGTGAACTTAAACGAGAAAATTGGAAAAATACATTAAGCGAACGAGAAAGGAAGTGCCAAAACCTCGGAATAGATAAAAAGGACCAGTTATATCCATTATATAGCTAAATGAATGTATAGTAGATAGATGAACAGAATATTTCAAGATGCTGCTAAAACGGGATCAATTGCAGTATGGATGATATTAAGTTGACGATGTAGGTTTATTATGGTGAAAACCACTTTATTTTCGATTGCTGAAGGTGCACATCGGGACTATATTAACTTTGAAGCAGGATATAGAGAGGTATATCGAGAAAGTTATAGCTCATAGCTTTCCTTCTGTTTAGTGGATTTTCAAAAGATTTTTTAAGGGATCTAAAAGGAAAACGAGTTTTTCTGAAAGACAGTTAGATATTAGCATAATCCAAAGTGTGAGGCACTGAGCAGATAGAGAGCTATTTTTCTTTTTATGTGGACTTCTCTATAACCTGCCTTAAAGTGAAGACAGTCCCAATTTTCAACTTCTCTTCCAATGTGCAACTTAAGTTTCTCAATCCATATCACTCTGGCAATCGACAATATTTCTTATTCCAGCTTCTACGATTCTTGTGTATAATTTGTTTGGTACACTAAACAGGAATGGGTCTTGATGGGTATTACATTTCCTAGTACCTCCTTTCTTGTAAAGGTAAAAACCACAGTCCTTTCATATTATTTTCTAATATGCTTGTTGCCTATGTACGCGCAAAACTGTCAAAGCAGTTCGGTTTCGCCCTTTCCATCTTTCTTTGTGCAGAGAGAATAATACATTCAATATTAAAATTTCCTATTTTTTTATGATATGGTACAAATTCCGAACAATTCAAGAATAACGAGCTACAACTAATATAAGATACCTTAAAAAATCTTTTGAAAATCCACTAAACAGAAGGAAAGCTATGAGCTATAACTTTCTCGATGTACCATCTCTATATCCTGCTTCAAAGTTAATATAGTCCCGATGTGCACCTTCAGCAATCGAAAATAAAGTGGTTTTCACCATAATAAACCTACATCGTCAACTTAATATCATCCATACTGCAATTGATCCCGTTTTAGCAGCATCTTGAAATATTCTGTTCATCTATCTACTATACATTCATTTAGCTATATAATGGATATAACTGGTCCTTTTTATCTATTCCGAGGTTTTGGCACTTCCTTTCTCGTTCGCTTAATGTATTTTTCCAATTTTCTCGTTTAAGTTCACATTTTTCCTCATTTTGAGATCAAATCCAAACAATCAGTTTTGGTTTATAGAAGAACTTATAGGGTCACCCTTTATATCTTTCTTTGTGCATAGAGAATAATTCATTCAATATTAAAATTTCCTATTTATTTATGATATAGTCCAACTTCTGCACAAAATAGAGGAAATAAAAATTAATTTTTTAATTAGTGATATATGAGTTTTACTAAACAACCCGGTAGCTATTCATTATATATAGTTCAGATTAGGTATATATTATTTTAGTTTATAAAAAAGGTATGAATATGACTCATTTCCTGGGAAGTATATAAAAATTTTAATTACTTCTAAGAATCAGTAAATATTCAAAACACAGTGTTAAATTGCAAACGTTAAATAAAAAAAAATCAAGATATTTAGCAAAATATTTTTTAATTAAGTTTTATTATTATAATTATACCATTTTTACAATTGAGGTATTCTTAAACGACCTACGTATAGAATAAAGGAGGTTAAAATTTAAAAAAATAATAATAAATTTTTTTTTAATTTAAATTTTTTTTTTACTATTAAATTATTGCATTAATATTTGTTCGTTAATAAAACCAATATAATGTACCAAAAATGTTATTATATCACTATAACTAAGCCATTTATGGGCACTGAATGGTGTGGTAGAGGCCTGTAGGCACCCACGCCAGTACCGCTTTTCTGCCGCATAAGTGCATTTTTTACGGAACCACTTAAACATTTGTAAAAAATAATTAGCGTTTCAGAAAGAGAAATATATTCTCCAGATGGTTTATTTCAGCACGTTTTGCGTTATTGTAGGCCGTTTAATTACAAACGACGTTTGATTTGTAACTTGAAAATTTTTTTGTTAAAAAAATTGACTTTACTGGTGTTTTTCATAGCCTTAGCCAATTATTTTTTAATATTTCTTCATGTTTTATTATTCTATAACTATTCAGCTTTAATAAAAGACCAACTATGAGGAAATTAAGCTTAATGCTGATTCTCAGTGACCAAAAAACTAACTAAAGTCAAAGTCGTCAATCCGCCATCTTTGGACGCCATTTTGGGGCAGTGCGTTCACTTTTTTTTGTGGGAACATTGGCTTTTTTTTAATAAATTGTTACAAGGAACACAACGATATGTGTCTACCCTGTCTTCTTATGAAAACGACATTAACATATAAGAGATAAAGAAATTTTGTAAATTAATTTAGACTCGACTTATGATTATATAAAACTCATTTGAAGATCAGTTGAAAAAACACATAATTGTTTAGAAGATGAATTTAATTTTTAAAACAATTCGAAGGTGCTTAATTACTGTGAACTTTAATAATTTATTTTCATCTTAGAAATAGACCTTTTCCTATTTATATATACAATTTAAAATTTTTTATTC